CCCCCCCCTGGGACGAATCCCATAGGCGTCGGGGAGGACCACCCGTCGCAGCCGACCCACCGTAGCAGAGTCTGCATGCGCTCGTCGGTCACCCAGGGGAGACTACAAGGATCTACAGTCATCCAGCCTGTCGCCCTGGGGACACTTGCTAGAAGAAAAATCAAATCAAACGGAAGAAAGGAAAAAAATTCTCCAGAGAAAATTTTTAAGCTCCTTACTCCTGACGCTAGGCAAAAAACTGGAGACTTGTCAGCAGGTGGGGGGTTTGGCCACCGGCAGGGGCCGCCCCTAGGCTGTAATTGGTCTTTAGTTTTGTGCCTAGCGTCCTTCTCCTGCAGGTGGCGATATTACCTACCATTCAGGATCTACGATCTGTTGCCTGTGTCCTTCAATGAACGGGAGAGAAAGTATATTACTGACATGGAAGAATCACACAGCAAAAATGTCAAAAGTGTGTCAGTCATTTACGAACAGAAACCAAAAACAAGCTCAGTCATGAAGGGGTTAAAACATAAATAAGTTGTTTTAAGGCCCATTCACACTGGACCCATTGTGTAGCCGTCTGTTTTTCAACAGCTGCTAATGAAAGGACACTGAAAAATGAATGGGGCTAGTTCACACTGCTCCCTTCCATTGTACTGAAAAAAAAGTAGAGCATGCACTTCTTTTTTTTCAGTGCAACATAATGCAACAGGTCCGATGTGAACTAGCCCTATTCACACCCATTCATTTTTCGGTGCCCTTACGTAAGGTTTCCTTGAAAAACGGATTACATTGGATCGAAAGGAAAAATCAGGAGGTACAACTGCAAGTCAACGGACCCTCTGTTGACTTGCGATTTCCTTCTGATTTTGGTGTGAATGCACCCTAAAAGTTCGACTTTAAGCTAAAATGTGATATTATTTACAAGGTAGTGTTTTCTCTAATGCAATCATAATGCAAAGTTTAAATTCTCACCCTGTTGGTACGTCTGTGGCCGTCTCAGCTGCCTGTCTCTGAACAGCTTGCAGTAGCGTCTGTGCAGGAACCTCCAGCTTGGCAGCGCAACGCTTCAGGTGGGAAGCACGGGCCTTCTCTGTGGTGAAGGGCTTCCCACATAATGGACAACCAGGAACCACCGGCACAGCAGAATTACCTTGGAAGCTCTCACTCTGGTCCAGACACCTGCAAGATTATGAAACAAGTCTCAGAAACTGGGTAATAGCTAGCTAATGCTCTGGAGTAATAATACCTTTTCTCTCACCCACCTGTTGACGTGCTGTTCCCGCAGAATGCTGCTCATGGCAGTGAGGTCTTTCTGGCACAGCTGACAGAAGAAAAGTCCTGCCTCTTCTAGGCCAGTTGACGGCTTCTTAAGGTCCATTTGCAGAGCCATAGCCAGATCCCTATCCATACGAACATCTGCATCCACTGTGAACGCTTCAATAGAACAGGAACAGTTGGGGTAAAGTTAGATGAGATTTAAATAATTGGGGATGTAACATCATGTACAGTATACTTTGTGGAATCGCTCACCCTGTTCCCCAATGGCCTCCAAGGAATTCAGCTTCATTCGGACAGGGGATGTCCTCTTATACTGCTGCATCCTTTCCAAGACAAGATCTTTCACACGTGGTTCGTCCTCCTGTCCAGCGGTCTCTTCATGAGACTCTCTACCACTGCAATCTGATATATGAAACATCAGAAAATGTCTCAATTAATCCAAGAAATCCAGCACACTCTTTAGCATTGAGACCCAATAATCAAAGGGTGCTATGGTGAAATGGTGTCGACACAAGATAAGTCCCAATCCAAGATATATCCCATCGCACTCCGGAAACAAACCCAGAGATCGGGTGGGTGCCAAAGTGACTGCAGATTCCTCAGCCAGTAACATGAAATCACATTTAAAGCGACGTTTCAAAACCAAAAAGCTTTTGTTTGCCTGAAGGAACCACTTGGTTCCGAAACGTCACTTTAAATGTGATACTACCATAGTCAATAAAGGGATTGACTTAGCATGAAATTGGAGTGCGAGTGACTATCTATTGATCACAAGATAAGTCCCAACACAAGATAGCACCAGCACACCAGGCTTAGATGAAACATAGTTACATAGTATTTGAGGTTGAATAAAGACATATGTCCATCAAACGACAGGACATTTTATTGTCACCAACAGGAGGCAATGTTTCGAGGCAACTGAGGACCTCTTCCTCAGGCAGCAGTGATAGCTATAACCAAAGAGCTCATGGGAGTCTGCTATTGCTAACCTCTTCCTCTGGAATTGCTATTTGCCTGGCTACCATGCTAATTCTGTGACTTTAATACTGTCAAAGACAACAACCCTGAACAAGTACAGCATGCAGCTCAGTAGTGCTGACTTCACTCTGACATTCCAATCTGCATGCTTGTTCCAGTTCAGTAACTCAAAATGTGCTTAGTAATGTCAGTAATTCAGACCACTAACATTTTGAGGAGATCACCTTGCTTCCAAAATCCAGAGGGTGATTTGACCCAAAACTCAAGATCAGCTTTCCTTTAGCATTACTAGGGATGTTCAGATACCAAGTACCGTACTTAGTACAAGTAGAAGTACTGATATTGTTCCAGCTTCAGGACTAGACTAGAGGAAAAACTCAAAAGTTAGGAGGCAGCTGTAATTTTTATAGAGCATTGGCTACGGGGCTCCTTCTGTGGATACCCTGTGAATGAAGTCTCCACATAAGGAGTTGCAAATACTCACTCTGTGGCCGCCCGTAGTGGGTAGAGGTAAACACCGGAAGGAAATAATCAATTTTGTGTATTTTTGAATTACCTTTCTCTGTCTGCCCATTGGACAGGTGGGTCTGCACAGTGCTTCCTGCATGATCCTCATTGCTAATATTCTCCGGTCCATCTCCTGCTTTGATGTTCTGTTCCGCCGCCTTACTGACCCCATTACTCGTCTTGCTTTTGGCCCTGGAAGGTTTGGGCTTTTTGAACTTGCTCTTGCCTGTAGTGCTGGCTGTGGAAACGCTCTGGCCATCTAATGGCTTGCTCTTTTTAACCCGTTTCAAGAGTTTGGTACATAATTCAGTGAATTCATCGTCTGACTCAACCATTAGGAAATCCTTGGAAGAGTACTGGGTAATGAGAGCGGGTCAGACACTGAGCAGGCAAGATGTATCTTCATCTCACTGTTTCATCACGTGGTAGGGACAATCATTACTGCAAAGCATCTTTAAACAGAAAACAAAACATACATTAAAAGGAAGCACAGCTACATCTGTCAATCGATTTCTTGACCTCAGATGGAATTTGTTGTTTCTCTTATTTGTGTGCCTCTTTATTTACATGTTAGAGAAGTCCCTACAGTCATTCTTTGATCACCTACATGTGTAGCCCAAGGATGTGAAGGATGTGCTTGATGTGGGATCTCTTGGCATCAGATAAAATTCAGCTATACTTGAGCTCTATTTGGTACACCTAGTAGTGAACTACAAAAACTCTCTCCCCTATGTTTTAGAGAAAAGGAGAGGGGAAGGTGTCCTCTAGACCCAACCTAGGATGACAATCTTGCTCCTCCACAGATACAGTATGGTGAGTGTGAACAGGAAGTGTGTTACAGGCAGGATTACAAGGTGAAAATAAAAGGACAAAAGCCTGACAAAAGAAAACAAATGCAACCAGCACACCGAAAGTCTGGTAAGCTGCAACATATTACATTTTGTTCTAAGGTTAGGATACGCTTTACGGTAGCCCGTTTATTCTGAACGGGCCAAGGCTAACGTGTCTCAATGCAAGAAAAATCAAACAGCAATATTTCATTTCAATGCAGCACACACAATGCATCGATGGGTCCTATCTGGGTGATGAATTTTAAATGCTTTAAGCTGTATGTGCAAGGTGTACTTGGGGCCCTTCAAAATGAATGGCACAGTGGATTGCAAGTTACTACAATGTATAGGTGTGAAATCAGGCTTAAAGTATATAATAATGGTAGTGGTCTGGCTGCAGAATTACAATGCAGGCATCAAGCAGTACCTGCAGATACCTTTACATGCTTTCTTCAGCACCCCAGTTGCAAAAAGCATGTAAAGTATGTGCAGGCACTGATCACTGTCTGCACTGTAGCTCTGAGCCTAGTGAAGTACTTCAAGTGCCCATTCACAGATGCAGTGCATTCAGAAAGCATTCAGACCCCCTTCACTTTTTTCAGTTTTGTTATGTTGCAGCCTGATACTACAGTTATTTAAATTCTTTTTTTCTCTCATTAATTAACACTGCGTACTCTATAATGACAAAGTAAAGACAGAACTTTAGAAATGTGTGATTTTATTAAAAAGAAAAAACTGAAATATCACATTGGCATAAGTATTCACACCAATTACTCAGTACTTGTATGTTGGAAGATGAACCTTCTGCCCAGTCTGGAGGTCCTGAGCGCTGTGGAACAGGTTTTCATTGAGGATATCTCTGTACTTTGCGCCATTCACCTTTCCCTCAACCCTGACCAGTCTCCCAGTCCCTGCTGCTGAATAACACCCCCATAGCATGATGCTGCCACCATCATGCTTCACTGTTGGGATGGTAATGGGCAGGTGATGAGCGATGCCTTGTTTCCCCCAGACATAACGTTTAGAATTGTTCAATCTTGGTTTCATCAGACCAGAGAATCTTGCTCCTCACAGTTAAGAGTCCTTCAGGTGCTTTTTTGCAAACTTTAAGCGGCCTTTCATGTGTTTTGCACTGAGAAGAGGCTTCCATCCGCCATAAAGGCCAGATCGGTGGAGGGCTGCAGTGATGGTTGTCCTTCTGGAACTTTGTCCCATCTCCACACAGGATCTCTGGAGCTCAAGCAGAGTGACCATCGGGTTCTTTGTCACCTCTTACTAAGGCCCTTCTCCCCCGACTGCTCAGTGTGGCCGGGCGACCAGCTCTTGTGAGAGTCCTGGTTATGCCAAACTTCTTCCATCTGACCATTATAGGGGCCACTGTGCTCTTGGGAACCTTCAGTGCAGCAGAAATGCTTTTGTATCCTTCCCCATATCTGTGCCTGGCAATAATCCTGTCCCTGAGCTCTGCAGGCAACTCCTTTCACCTCATGGCTTTTGCTCTGAAACACTATACATTGTCAGCTGTGAGGCCTATAGAGAGGTGTGCACCTTTCCCAATCATGTCCAATCAATGTAAAGTACCCCAGGTGGACTCCAATCAATATAATGTACCCCAGGTGGACTCCAATCAATGTAATGCACCCCAGGTGGACTCCAATCAATGTAATGCACCCCAGGTGGATTACAATCAATGTAATGTACCCCAAGTGGACTCCAATTAAGGTGTAGAAACATCTCAGCAACAATCAAGAGAAATGGGAGGCACCTGAGCTAAATTTCAAGTGTTGATGCAAGGGGTGTGATTTCTTATGTCAATGTGATATTTCAGTTTTTCTTTTTTCATACATTTGCAAACATTTCTAAAATTCTGTTTTCACTTTGTCATTATGGGATACGGAGTGTAGGTTCATGAGAAAACAAGTGTAGTATCGGGCTACAACATAACATTGAAAAAAGTGAAGGGGGTCAGAACACTTTCTGAATACACTGTATGTGTGACATGCATTTTCGGTTAGGCCATTAATTTGCAATGGGCCCTGCACAGAAAAAAGCTGTCAGTACTCTCAGGTTGGCTTGATATGTATGCAAGTTTTTTAAATGAAGTTACCATGTGCAATGATGACCTGTGTATGGGTGCTGCTGTGCAATTAATTTGCAATTGCATCCCAACATACACGGCAAAGCAAATGCAGCTGCCCCTCGGTGCAACACAAGACATGCAAATAGAACACATGCAGTGCGCTGAGCTGGGGAAAAAATAAAACTAATGCAGATAGAATTCATGACTGTTGCCTCTTCCTTCTACAACCACTTTATAAGGGGAAACATACCTGGGTACCCCACTTTTTGGTCTCTGATGACATTATCAAATATTCTGACCAGATTAGCAATGTATGGCTAGCATAAGACAGGAAGTGTATTGCTGGATGGATCACCCGGTGCACATTGAGGGGGGAAAGGGCCTGCTAGCGATTCATTCTCCAGCACAGCTGGTTGTGGGGACAGTATTACATGCGGTGACTTGTGGTTCACCAGCACAGCTGGTTGTGAGGACTGTGATACATGCTGAGAGTTGTAGTTTTCCAGGACGTGCGATTGTGGAACATTCATGCATCTTGAGCAGTGGTTCCTCAGCCCAGCTGGTTATGGGGACAGTATTGCATGCTGAGACCTGTAGTTCCCTAGCATAGCTGGTTGTGGGGGGCAGTATACATGCTGAGACCTGTAGTTCCCTAGCATAGCTGGTTGTGGGGGGCAGTATACATGCTGAGACTTGTAGTTCCCTAGCACAGCTGGTTGTGGGGACAGTATACATGCTGAGTCTTGTAGTTCCCTAGCACAGCTGGTTGTGGGGACAGTATACATGCTGAGACTTGTAGTTCCCTAGCACAGCTGGTTGTGGGGACAGTATACATGCTGAGACTTATAGTTCCCACCGCACATTTGGCTGGTTTCTTGGGTGCACAGTATGCTGACAGTTATAACTGCGACCCTCAGGGCTCTTTTCCTGCAGCAGCACACCGCCCTTTGTCCCACACAGTCACCTTCCCGCCTCCCCCATTTATCACACTGGTACCTGAGCTCCACCGTACGTACAGGGATCCGGAAGTAACTCCATGACGTCACCGCGCCAGATCAGCAACAAGCGTCCTCCCGTCCCCGCGGCAACCAAGCGTGCTGCTCTCTAGTGGCGCTGCGCTGTAACACGGCCGAACAAAATGGCCGCCTCTTAGTTTAATATTTGCATTGTGTACGGTGCAGACAATACCTCATAGTTACACAATATGGCCTGTTACCATCAGCTGTGCCAGTCATGTGTCTGCAGAGCTCCCAACTATCCCAGAATTCCAGGGACACAGGTCCCAGTTCATGACATGACTCTCCCCCTTTTAGTAGGGTTGCCACCTTTTGCTCAAGCGAAACCCGAACGCTGTAGCGTTGCACAGAAATTTTTGGGGGAGAATGAGTCGCAGCTTATTCATATATACATACTGTAGCGCCACCCATTCATATGTAAATATCATAGTTGATACCATTGTCAGTGGGGGGCCAGTAGCCCCTATCTTAATTTTGGTTGCCCCTGTCTGCTTGACATCTTGTGTCCGGGTTTCTGCTGCTATGAAACCTGGACACAGAATTCTAAACCCGGAATGTCCGGGTGAATCATGGACAGGTGGCAACCCTACCTTTTAGGTGTGCACATCTGTATACATACTCCTACCATTCCCGCATTGAATTGTATTATAACTGTACTGCCTCCCTTTATATTGTAAATTGCTGCACAAACTCAGCACCATATCCATTCTATATAATGATAAGAATAGTGAGGGATCAGAGTCCCACATGCCCCATATGTGTTCCTGCTCCCATGGGTCTGGCCCTGTAAACAGAATCCTGGGTTCTGCACATGTGTTTACCAGGCCAAGCTGGCCACCATTGTAGTAAATGTGTCTGACCAGGATGACTGAGGGTTCTCATACTTGTAAAGCTGATAGGGTTGTCATTTGGCTGGTATTTACTGGCCTGGTTGACAAAAATCAGGACTTGTGGCCAATGTCATTAATAAGAAAAAAAACCCACAAGGCCGGTCATTCTTTCCACAAAAGGTGGCAACCCTAAGAGCCAACCACTGACAGTAGGCCTGTTTCCTTTCTCTTGCCATGGACGCCGGGGCATTTATTCCTACTACTGATCTTTAATGGCGGGCTTTTTTCTTTCGGCTGAACACTGACACTGGGGGCAATCTTAACTATAAAGTTAAGCCATGCCCAATGTGTGTGGCATATGCCATCTAAGTGACAAGGGGTCACAATTCTACGGTTGGGAGGTGGTGTTTTCTTATACTGGTATCTCCGACTTCCCCCAGGATTATGTGATTTGAAGCTCGTCATACTAGCGACCCTGTCCCTGGTGTCAACTCATCAGCAATAGGATCAGTAGGAGTAATAAATACCCCTATGTCAGGGGTCAGTGGGAGTAGTAAATGCCCCAGTGTCAGTGGTCAGTGAGAGTAAACCATGCCCAGGGGACAGAGGTCAGTGGAAATAAAAAATGCCCCTGTATCAGTGAGTAATAAAAGTTCCTGCCCCAGAGGTCAACCAGAAAAATGATGGTGTCAGTGGCAGGGTTGGTGCCCCGGTGCAAGTGAAAAAAGTCACTCCCTACCTTTATGTGACTTAACATGCAGACTCCATGTCCTATGCCGCATCTCTTCATGGCGTCATGTCCCTTTTTAAAGATTTCCCCTCACCTTGGGTTCAAGTGGCCACTGTAACTTTTTGGATTTCCCTTCACTTTCTGTCCCAGTACCAACAGTCACCCGGACAAATGGAGGGGGCGAATCTCACAAGCAGGGACACGGTCAGTAATTTTAACCCTTCAATATGCTATTCAAAACTAAAAAAAATGGCTAGAAATATACTTTAATAACGAGCCTGGAATACGGTAAGGGATGTGGGTTCCTAGGAGGTAGAGTACAGGTATGACATGTACAAGTCATCTCTATTCTACTTGCAGCAGTGATTGGAGATCGGCCTGTCCCGTTTTTTTTATTGTTACAGTACACACGTTAAGGACAGATTCCCCCCAAAAAATGATGAACCTGATAAACTATACAGTGCACAAAGAATATCTTTTTTTTATACATTTGTTCCTGTAAAATCAATATTGATCCCCCTTAACCCTTTTGCTGTTAGAGCCATTTTTGCACTCATGTTAAAATGCACATTTAATAAACAATTATTATTTAAAAAAAAAAAAAAATGCACATTTTAGGCCTGAAAACTGCTCAACACCCCCAAAAATTATATATTATCTGAAAGCAGAGACCACATTTTTTTTCTTCTATGTGGCATGATATTAGCACCCACATTTTTAGTAAAAGAAAAAAAGAAAAACAAAGTTATTTTAGTGCACATACCCACAATATATTACCCAATTTTTGGGTAATATATAACAAGGAGGTTGTACCGAGTAAATAGATACCCAACATGTCAAAACATTAAAATTGTGTGCACCTGTGAAATGGCGAAAAACTATAATACCCCAAATTTTGCATAGGTGACACTTTAAGAGCTTCTATAGGTCATCAATTTAGAGTTAAAGTGATAAAAACAAAAAATGAAGGTTTAGTATTATTAGGAGGGCCAGGCTTGATTTAAATGCCTTTTGTTTCTTTTTTAATCCTTTTAGTTTGCTCGTTCTCTCGTCCCCAGTATCTTCAACAGCTAGCTGGCTGCTGAAGAGATACCTGTGCTTGTGCGTTACCGCTGTGTACATCTACATAGACACACACAGCGGACGGCTGGCCACGCCGCCCGCTCCCATAGTCGGACTTTGACTAACGGCAGAAGGAGCCTATGGCTCCCTCTCTCACCGGAATGTCCGGTATCGGGGCTAAGTATCGGAGCATTTGGATGAGTACGAGTGTTCCAAACACTTGGTATCGGCACCAATACTAGTATCGGTATTGATGCATCGCTAGTTATAACCCTCCCTTACGTCCTAGTTATTATAACCCTCCCTAGTTATAACCCTCCCTAAACAAAAAAAAGTTTAAGTATTTTGCTACATGCAAACTGTCTTTTGACTTTTGGTGTCGTCGTGACACGATCTGCATCTTAAAATGTAACTTTGCCCTCCACCCACCAATACTACCCCTCCCTGCAATTCCCCTCTGCTCATATAGTCTTGGGAGTCCTAACCCTGGGGTTAACTTCCTGGTCAGGTGAAAATGTCACCTGACCAGGAAGAAATGAACCCTGACGGAGCTTACACAAGGTTGGGATTCGACAAAGCATTGCATCCTGGGAGGTCGCATGCTCCAGCGGGAAGAACCTGTTACTTTTCCTGTTCAGGGTAATGTGACAGATTCTCTTTAAAAGGCAGTCTACAGTACATCTGCCATTGTTTGACTACCTTGGTTTGTATCCTTCATGCGGAGCAAAAAAAAAAAAAAAAGACGCCGCATCTGCTTATTATAAGGGTTTGCACAGTAACTTACCCTCTCTTTCACAAAAGAACATGTTGCAATGTGCAACAAAACTTTTTGATTACACCCTGGTAAATGATCTGGAACGTACACATTCCGGTAAAATGTGATTTCAAAGGTTGCAGTAACTGTATCTGCCACCAGGTGGAGCACACCTCTTGCATGCACCGAGCTTACATTGCTGCAACACGCAATCACAGCCTGCAGATTTGTATGGTAACAAATCTAGCTGTAATGCACGTGACCAGTACATGAAACCCCTGAAGAAAAATAAATGGGTTAATAAAGGGGACCGGTTAGTGTTAATATACCACTAAACATAACACTGTAGACATCACTGGGATTTTCCGCCGTCATGATATTGATTGCTGTTCAATTTAGGTTTTCCTCAGTTAATGTAGAATGATATTGTCTGACTGTCATACTGACCATATTGCTTGAAAAGTTTGAATCTGTGGGGTGGGGGGCAGCTTTAAAAGGTGGAGTTGGGCTTTAAAGTACAAAACTAAAGCTGGCCATACACTGCTAGATTTCTGAACGAACTTTCGTACGAAGGATCATTCATTCGATGGGTTCAAATCGATGATCGATCTCCATTCATTCCAGATCCGAGCTCCGTTCATTCCAAAATCGAATGCTAAAATAAAACAAAATTTCATTCGACATTTTCAAGTGTCCGATTGCATTATTGGGTTCTAAAGAAAGACCTTTCGTTTGTTAAGAAAGATCTTTTATTCAGAAATCTACTAGTGTATGGCCCGCTTTAGAGCGACACAATCACTCTGCGATACAGGGCTAATGGACAGTGTCTGCACATATCCCCAAATTCCCTAGGCATGTATACCTACCCGGCCGCCCTTTCCGTACAGATGTGCCCACTCTGCCTGTTCGAGTGAAGGACAGGCTTACAGCAGCCACATCTGTAACACTGTCAGTAACTTGAATGGGCACAGTGGCCACTTCTGTACGGAAACAGTGGAGATTTCTGCTGCAAGAATCAGTAGGTTCTTGTCCCGGGAATCCCCAGCCACAGCCTAAAACCCTGTGTGAATGGGGCATAAGCCCGAAATTGGTAACTGCTGGACACAATGCCTTTTGTTAACAAAATAAAAGCAAAACACGAAATTTTTACAAATTGTTTAATGTTGATTGGTAACAGTAGATGGATCTATGACAAAGGTTTACTTTAAAAGGAGAACTCCAGGCAAAAGTGTTCTGCCCCTGCACTGCAAGGGTTAGGTGGTTGTTTAGCCTAGGTGCTAAAAAAAAGTATACTCACCCAATTCTCTGGGCCACTCCCTGGAGCCCCTCTCCCCCTGTGCTGCAGCACTCTAAGGATCCTTGAGTCATCAATTTATCAAAAAAATTTAATTTATCAAAACTGGAGCAGAAGAATCTGGAGCAGTTGCCCATAGCAACCAATCAGCTTCTCTCTTCAGTTTAAGTTAAGGTTTGAACATGAAAGAGCTGACTGGTTGCCATGCACAGCTCCTCTATATTTTGTCTGCCCTAGTTTTGATAAATTCCCTTCAAAGTGTATACAACATGAAGATGCTGAGTGGCATTCCATCACTGCACCGGATGAGGGAACAGGCTTTAGGGACTGGAGCAGCCGACAGCCAGATTCATGGGTCAGGCGAGTTTAAAAAAGAAGCACTTATCCTTTGCAATGCAGGGGTAGCCCCACTGCAAGCGTTAAGAACACTCTTTCCCGGAGTTTGCTTTAAAGGAAACCTGTCACTAGAGAGATAAGGAGGCTGCCATTTCTGAACCTCTTCTTCTGAAAATGTCACCTGCCTGGCAGTGGTGCCGACTCAGGACTAACTAACCTTTATCTGACTCTCCTGATCTGTATACTTCCAAGGTCGGTGAAAGCACACATGCTGGAGCCAGCCAGGCAACTAGAATTTGAAAAAAGGGATCAGCAATGGTGCCTTGTATTTTCCTCATGACAGGTTTACATTAAGCCAGTCACCTATCTGCACAGTGACAGGGTTAAACAATACGTCTCAGATTTCCTCTGTGAATCATGGACAGTTCTGGTCATGATGATGGCGTTATTCTTACTACATAACACTCCGTGATAATCTTTATGCGTCTCTAAAGTCTCTTTCCATAGGAAACATGGCGGCTGTGAAACAACAACAGCGGCTTCTTGAAATGAACAGCCAGAAATCTTGTGGACTGGATGACACATGGAGGGTAAAACACATGGGGAGGACGTGAGGGATCAATGCTTCTCCAAAGCTTTTGTTAACAATTCGTTAAGGCGTGCCACCATGGGTCGGGGGTCGTCATTGAGTCCGGCTGCAATCATTGCGTTCTCGTAGATCTGTATGGAAGTAAAAGAGATGGTTCAGATTGCACAGATTACTACGGCAGACTTAAGTGAGTCTATTACAGAGCTTGTGAGAAAAATAACAGGCAAGCTGCCAGTCTACTAACTGGGATACATAACAGTGTTGTCAGCTTCATTCACAAAGCTGTAATGATCATTTTTTGGAACATTTTTTATTGATCTATTTTTAAGCAATGAGAATAACAATCGCTATGGAAAATACAAGTCTTTATTAGGGATGAGCCGAGTGTTCGATTCGAACAGGAGTCGGGCCGGACCGGATCGGAGAAGAAGCCGACGGACCAGGACAGGACAGCAGCGGAGGTACGGGGGGCAGCGAAAGGAGGGGGCAGCGAAGGCATGCAGCGGTTTGTGTCCCCGCTGTCTCTGACAACACAGGGGCGGAGAGCAGTGGGGATTTGAAGGGACACAGGCCGCTGCAGCCACAGTTCTCCTAAATGTACCAGCTGCTTCCGGTACATTTAGTAGAACTGTGGACCCGGTTCGTAAGTACGGATTGTCCATAACCCTGGGACTGCCTGTATAAGCCCTCTTAAAGGGGGACATTCATTTTCGAACGTTCGACCCCCCATTCACTTGTATTGAGTTCGGGTTCGTATTCAAACTTTTCGGCCGTTCAAATACAAACCGAACACAGGGGTGTTCGGCTCATCACTAGTCTTTATAGCAGAGCGAATTGAGCCTACCAAACAAGATCAGTGTCAGTACTCAAACTAGAATGCAGACTTACAGGGTTATTCACAAAAGGGTTAATAGTGTGGAGAAGGCCGGAGAAGTGACCAATCTAGGCCAGAATAGCTGACTTTGAAAAATTCTCCAATTCCGCTCACTTTCCAAATCAGTTATGTTGTCCTAGATTGATCACTTCTCCTGCCTTCTCCAAACTCTTCACCCTTTTGTGAATAACCCTGTGAGACTCCAATAAATGGTTGCTTTTCATGCAGGTGGAGATTTGCTTTAAAAGGTCAGTCCATCCTAAATACATTCTTCATTTGTAAATGGAAATGCAAGGAAGAGATCTCCGCATCAAATCACAGCTGTGGCTGCTAAGCAGAGATGAGTATATGGGGGTATACTTTTCACAGTTGGATTCTTCTTTATTTCACACAGAGAGAAGGCCAAAAGAGAAGTTTAACTCCCTGGTTTGGGTTTATACTGGCTGAATTTCCAGAAATCTCACAGCCTGAATCTCATGACCCACTGGTTATCACCCATGACAAACACCTAAGTGGGTGGACTTTTCCTATAGCTGGCCATAAAAAAAAAAAAAAGACAGATCTGGGGATGAAAGGAGGCAACCTTCCACATTCATTATAGTCACGCAAAACACCAACAACTTTTACTATAGGCTTAAACAATGTTTATGAATGCATGCAATGAAAAGGAACGAGCTGCAATACATAATTTCCTGTGGGCTGATGCAGCTTAATGCTCATTGTTGTTTTATTCACTTACCTACCTGACTAGCTTCACTATTATTACATTAGCCATATTCCTAGTGTAAACCAGTATGGCCAGCACTACAGGCCTGTTACTTCATAAAAGAATGAGCAATGCTGGGATCAGACTATGGAGGACAAAAGAACCTTTATTTAAACTACTGTTGTTCCAATGCTTTCTTTGGTCTACAAATTGCTAGCCTATACCGGGTTTACCTACCTGATCCAGAAGTAATTTTGCCAGATCCTGGTCCGCATCTTTCAGCTGTCCTAACTTCTTAATCAAAGGATGCCTGAAAAAGAGTGACAACGTTTAACATGGCTGCATAGAGATACAGTATAGTGAATAGTTTTGTGCTTTCAATCGCACATTCCCAAGTTTTGAATATAAGTTGCCTGCCATTTTTTTTGCTGTCCTTGGTATGCATCTGTGGGAGGTCTATGGATACCCTGATTCTGGTTGTCTTACTGGTCTCTGTTCCTCTCTGGATGACTGTGGTAAGCTTTGCTCTTAGTCTTTTCTATACAGTTATAGTAGGGCTGGTACTCTTAAAGGAAAAAGGCACCTTGGTAGTATGTGGCTACCACAAATGTTGGCAAACGTATGCCACTGAAAGCTCTTATGACAATGGTATGCCACTGAAAGCTCTTATGACAATGGTATGCCACTGAAAGCTCTTATGACAATGGTATGCCACTGAAAGCTCTTATGACAATGGTATGCCACTGAAAGCTCTTGGAGAAGCATGTGACAGCACATGGAGAGTCCACAGCCCTGGGTAGGCAAAGCACAGATTCACTTTTATATTTGCATCCCATAATCCTGTGCATGACTAAAGACTGGGAAAAGGACAACCAGCACTGTGAGCAAATGGGCTCTACTTTTCACCTGGGAGCTTACAGGAGGTAGGAACAGAGGAATTACATCATTTTGGTGATACTCCTTGTTGGTCCCGTCAGCAGACCAGAGGTGAGTCCTTGACCTAACTATTCTTGTTAACTGCAATGAAGAAAGGTGATGCCATCAACATGACTGTGCTTTTTGGCAGAGGTGTCTACATCTCATTACTGGCAAAATCATTGTTTTGGCACGTAGACAAAAAAAAAAAAAAAAAGGCTGCAATTTACCTCATTTGCCTGCTAGTTCAAAAGCAACTAAAAAGGACATGCTTCATCTAAAGCAAATTATCACAATGCAAAGCAGGTCAAACGCAGCCTCTGGACTGCCACATGTACCATTCTTTTGAAGCCCGTCAGATTTTGCTGACCTGCGTTTTGAAATGTGAACATTCCTGGGTTTTTTGTGCTCCTTTTTGCTAGCTGACAAAGCTAAGTGATGGGAAATTTGTTTTGTGCAGTCATAATACAGTGCCCCGTAAGAGTGCACCTTGTTCTAAATATGAAATAATGGTCCCATGGATACAGGTTTATAGCTTCACTACCCAAACAAACCCTCAGCTATGCAGAAATCAGGCTCATGGATTATTACTACCAATGACTGCTCACCCAGTGTTTATCTCCAGTGTAGGCTGCAGGAGCTGTGCTCGCTCCTCGTTGGTTTTAGCTAGCTGCTGAGTGCGCAGGAAGTGTCGAGCAGCTCCCATCTCCAGTACAGTAATCATAGCCGGGTGAGTGTCAAGACGCGGAGTAACCTGAAAGGATAAAATCGTGTTAGATTTAAATAAGAATGGAATTTACTGGCTACATCTTCTAGCCTGCATCCTACACATGCACAGCAAAATGACTTAAAAACTGAATACTTACATTGCTGGTGTCCAGGGCCCAGCACCCACCACATGCATTGAGTTTCTATGTTCTGAGGGTGCCTATATGTGTGTTCCCCTGGGTGCTCTGCTTTCTCACATAATAAAAACATACTGTGGGTTTGAAAGCTTTTATCTAAAAGTCTCTCTATCTATCTATATCTATCTATATATATAGATATATATCTATATCTATATATAGGGACTAACGTGGATGCCTTCAAGAGACCCTGTCAACTCAACTACCTTATTTTAAACCTCTCCAGTGCATCCAACTGTTCAGTATTTCATGGCCGACACTTTAAAAAACCAGGTGTTACTGAATATGGGGAAGTATGTGACCTCCTTTGATGATGCAGGGCTCAGGACTAGCATCCAGTTGTAAGGCAATGTCACTGCTCCCTTTAACCCCTTCATGACTGAGGCCCTTTTTTCAATTTTTGCACCCATGTTATATTCCACATTTTACGCCTGAAAATGACGTAAAACCCCCCAACATTATATATTTTCTGAATGCCAAGACCCTATAGAATAAAATGGTGGTAGTTGAAAATTTTTATGTTGCGCAATATTAGCGCAACTCCTTATTAAACCCCAAAATTTTGTGACAAATTTAATTAAATGCCCCAAAACACAACAAATTACCCATTTTTTTAATGAAATATAAAAGATGAGGTTACAACGAGTAAAACGATACCCAACATGCCCAGTTTACAGATTGCGTGCGACCGTGAAACGGCGAAAAACTGCAGTACCCCAAAAAGTCAATAAAAGACACTTTAAAAGCCCCCACAGGTCATCAATTTAGAGATACCCCAAAATACTGGCCCTAGGATTATTGCTCTCACTCCGGCGTGCGCGGCGATACCCAACATGTGTAGCGCGTTCGTCGTTTTCATGCGTAGGCGCACCCGGCACGTGTTTACGTGGCGACGCGCGTGCTCGCGGGGGCGGGGTACTTTAAAAATTTTTTTTTATTATAATTATCATTTATTTTATTTCATTTTAATTTTAAAAACTGTTTTTTTAAGGGGTTAAACCTCAACACCAGCCAGGTTATGTTGGGGATGGCTGCACCGGAGGCAGGATCAATAACGGAGAGCAGGGGAGGCTGTTTGACAAATGTACTTCACTCCGTTTGTTTTACCTTAATATTGGCCACTCGAGTCCCCAACCCATTCCTCATCCAAGCCATCAAATCTTCTGCTTCTTTCTCAGGTAGTTTGTCGGCAGCTGTGGAACAATAAAGATAAAGGGTTACATCGGGGCTGGACAAATCTCTAGGTGGCCTTAACTTACTACATAGGTATACCCACCCCTGGGCTTAGTTTTAGCCTTATATACTGGGTTATGTTTAGAACTGCAAAGATGGCGGTGTACCTGTCCTACTGTCCTCAAACGTCTCCTCCTTGTAGTGATCCACCACGATGTCGGTCTCCACTGAGATTAGCTTTTTCTGATCAAACTCTCTCAGATGCAGAAGAGTCAGTTCATCAAACTGCTCAAAGCAGAACAAAACCTGGAAGAGGTGCAGTGAAGAGTGTAAAGGAGCAATGACTTGGAAAAGTGGAAGAATGAGTGACAAAGACACACAAAGAGAGAACTTCTAGGACCCTCACCTCCGTCTGCTTCTTCTTCATTGCTTCATAATAGGGACTGTGCTCAGCAAGGTGTCGGTTGGGTGCACACAAGTAGTAGATGCTGCGGGTTCCTGCTTGCATACGGCTGCAGTAATCTGTTATGCTGGTCTGCTGGCCTGCAGGCAGAGCTGAGGACTCAAAACGCAGCAATTTGCCAATATCCTCCTGTTATAAAATGCAAAACAAAAATACTTATAAATGAATACAATCATACTAGTGACTCTCCAACAATGGTACTGCTTAGAACATTCATTATGTTCAGGTTGTTGTAACCAGTGCATGGAGGTTGTATCTGAGCCTCCTAGACATCCACTGGGTCCTAGGCTCCTCTCTAGGTTGCCTGGTAGATGATCTGTACTTCCCTTCTGATACAGGGTTCATACTAGAAACCAGTGGTGTTCTCCCTGTATTAGAATACCCAGGTCCACCCAACTCCCATTGTTAATATGAAGGGGTCTGTAAGGTAGCCAGAGTGGTTCTGCATGTAGCAGGGTTGGGGACGGTGGCAAAAACATCTGTCCCTGTGTGTCTGCGTGCCAAGTACTTGGCGGTTACTGTGTTTCACTGCTTCTCAGAATGCAAAATGTCTCAACCGATCCTAAAAAGAAACCTGTTACAAAAAGGCTGCTACTGCTCACCACCTACTCCAAAAAGCTAGTTGCCTGGCTGTTATGCAAATCCTCTTGCCTCAATATAATCCAGTACAGAAAATTTGGAGAAAACTAACACATGATCTACATGCTTGCTCCCAGCAAGAGACAAAGTATTAAAAAGACAGAAGTGAGCATGACAGCCAAGCATATGCATTTTTAAGAGGGTTAACAATCACAGCCTTCATATTTCACTGATGACAAGTTTGTTTTAAACCGGGATTGCCAACTGCATTATCGAATATACAGCTGACCACTAAAGGGAACATTTCCTGCAACAACAATACTGATGTAAATGAAATATATCCTCACCCTGACATCCTGTTCTGGGGTGGTAACAATCCCTTCCCGGATAAAGAGCCCATAATCCTCGAAGAACTTGCTGTATTTCTCAGGGTCCTTCTTACACTGGTCCAGGAAAAATTTAATCAGCCGTCTTTGTAGCAGATCACGCAGTTTTCTGACAGAAGCAATGCATACAAATAAAGGAAATTAACTTACTAAGACGTAAATCCATCACAATAAAGAATATATATATATATATTATACACACACACACATATACACACACAGCTCTGCCCAGAAGTAGAAGGTAAGTGACAGTATATAAAATTCAGGCGCTATAGTTACAACAACATGGTCCCTAGAGGAAGCTCTTTGTGAGGAAAATATTAACTTTGAAGAAAACAAAATGGTAAAAAAATAAAATGTACAAATGCCTTTAAACTATACTGCTCCAGGCAGGCACATACAGCAGGCAGTAACCAGCAGCGCATGCTCAGGTTCTCCAGGATCCACCTTCTCCCAACTAGGCATAGAAACACATAAGCCACACTCTTCTGTATTGTTTGATGAACCACAAGAAGATTTATTGATGTCAAATTAGGTCAGAAAGACAGACATGCTCTCTCCCGTCAGATGTGACTCCACTCCAACGCGTTTTACCCAATGGGTTTTATCATAGGAGGTCATAGTTCACCAAAAAGTACATTAGAGTGCGGCTTATATGTTTGTATGCCGAGAAAAAAATTACAAGTGTAAAACTGCACATATCTACATTGCCTTCTTCCTCTGCAAAAACTGACCAGTGATTCAGTGTAAGGGAGGGTATTAATAAGAGATGAGGAGTCAACTTCCTTCGTGCAAAATCATATTCCAGCAAAGCTATATTTACAATGGACATTATATTCAGTACGATCCAGCATGTCTCAGCTTACCTAATGAGAGCACTCTCCTGCAGCAGCTCACGGCTCAGATTCAGAGGTATATCCTCACTGTCCACAACTCCTGTAACAATAAAGAAAGAATAACATATGAGGTGGGGCAAGGTGTTAGGCCACTAGCTTTAAACCAAATATTCCTAAAGCTGAACTCCAGGCAAACAGATGAATTACATGTAGAGCTGCAGCTAACGATTATTTTCAAAATCGATTCGTTAGCCGATTATTAAGTTCGATTAATCGGTTAATCGGATAAAAAATAAAATACATTTTAAAAAATGGCTCCAGTGATGGACTTCTAGTTTGTATTAACATGCAGTATACGAGTTCTGGTTTACCAGTTGATGGATCTGCGTTTCCGTCCATCCTGTCCTGGGATTCACAAAGCCCTACCAGGCAGTCTGTAGACCTGACAACTAGGCCTTGCCAGCCTGTCACAGGACAGTGAAGATGAGGCAGCAGACTGATTAGCTCATCTGTCAGTCTTCCTTCTCCTCCTCTAAGCACACTCCTTGTTAATAAATCTATCTACCTACCTACCTACCTACCTACAATAGCACAAATTAGCTCCTTGTTCTACTTTTCACTTTCCCAGTCTGAACTTTCCTATAGGAGGATGTTAAAACCATAAAACCAGATATATTGAAATATGTATGTGTGAACCTTAAATGATGAATGATTTTCTATATTTTAATCTATCCAAGTTTGGAGATTCAGTTTTGACTGTGCTGCTGATTTTTAGTTTACAATTGGTAATCAATCAGTAAGCCAGACAGGCAGACCTAAGTATAGTTGAAACAGTTGTTAGGAATGCTCAAGAAGACTTGGCCTTCAAAATGAGTTTGAAGAATAAACCACATTACTCAGGACATAGACTATGATGCCCAAAATGGGAAAGAAGGAGAACACATGACTCAGCTACTAGAGTATGGCACTCCCTTATGCTAATCAGAAAGACTTTTAAGGTAAACATCACATAGGTTATTTTAAAGTAAAAGCATGGATAAAAGGATGAGGGATGATCCTTCAAGGGTCACACATTCACTCACAGACACACACTCATACTCATTCACTACAGATCCACACACACACACGCACAGCATCACAAAGACACGCCCACACCCCCACACTCACATTGAATAGACAGACACCTGTTAGGACTATTTTTACTTCCTAACTAAAAGACATGTTTCTTAAGCATCTTATAGATTTCTGCTGTAAGATATACTATATTTTGTAATCATCAAGCATCTTATAGACTAATTCTGTAAGATATACTGTACCATATCCTGTAATATTTTGTAACTTTAAATTAAACACATTGTGAACTTTATGCAACAACGGAAACAATCATCTATTATTGAACTTTTCCACCCTATGCTTCGAGAAAAGAAATATGACATAAAAAATCATATTTCGTGTCATTTTCTTACAGAGGATATTGGAAGAGGTTGGTACTAAAACATATTTTCTGATTTCTTTAGTGTTCTGCCTCCATAGGCCTACATCTAGCATCTTGTTACACCCCGTAGCAGCACACAACTGATGTATTCATACACAAATTGCTCACCACGCAGGAAGCGCAGCCACTTGGGTAGAATGTCTGTGGCTTTGGTCTGGATGAGGACTTTCCTGCTGTACAGAGCCACGCTGGATCCCAACTCCCTACTCACATCAAACATGGAAGGTTTCTGCAACAAAGAAACAAATTCATTACACAATGCCAGACCGATCACATCCATACTCGTGAGATTGGCTTAAAACACAGTGTCCTGTTCCAGAGAAAATACTTTTCTGCTTACATATGATTGGCTTAGAGGCATTGACCGAACTCACCATCTCTGGCACGTAGAAAATGCTGCGGATATTCAGAGGTGCGTCTGCCTTGTAGTGTAGCGTGTAGCGCGGTTTGTCATATGCCTGGGCGATGTAACGGTAGAATTCCTCATGCTGAAACTCGCCGATCTCTTTGGGATCCATCATCCACAGGGCCTGAATGGAGTGGCATTAGAAGCAAAAATCAGGAAAAGGGAGATTAAATGTGCAATTCTGAAGCCGACTATGAGAAATGTAAAACTGCGCCCTATGTAAGCATGAGCATCTGATACGTATTTTGCATCTTTTAAAATAGAGTTCCAAATAGTTGACACATCCAGTCTCTTAACTAAATCTTTACACTCCCTTCACTTTCCCCCAGTAATTGCTACTTGTAAAGGACACTAAAGTTTATATACTGTATTCTTTCACAAGGCTGTTATGCACATAAGCACCAAGCTTCCTTGTATACCCCATACAGACAAGTATTTGCTGAAAATGTGCTTAGCCTGAAAACGGATGCAGCCACCACATCTAAAGACTGCAATATATGACACTTTTGTTCTTGGTTTTAGATACACTTTAAGGCTATATGGAAGGCCTGCGTTATCAGTTTACATCCTACCTGTAACGTATTGATCCTCTTTCCATTCAGGAAAAGGGGGAAGGTGACAAAGTTGCTGTATTTCGTTACCACGTCTGCAACATCATAGAAGAACACATGAATCAGAAGTATTTCCCACAGAAAATGTAAAAAGTAATTGACATTTTTCACATTTTATAAATGACCTCAGACTTTTATCACTTTGGTACATTATTCCAGTCTTTCTCAACTTATTTTCAGTCACGGCACCTTTTAAAAGTATGCAAAATCTCAAAAGCACCCCAGTCTAAAATGTAAAAAACATGAATGTAAAAAAAGATATGTGGCCCAACCCAAAATCAATTACAAAACCTTATCATAGACAGGGGTCTGGTATGGATTTTAAGGGGGGACCCCAGGCAAAAAAAAAAAAAAAAATGACGTGGAATTTCACACTTCACATCAGAGTTAGCCCATTTCACATCAGAAGCCTCCCTCCCTTCGCATCAATCAGAGCCCCCTCCGCCCCATATCACATCAGAAGACTTCCTTATATATCAGAAGCCCCCCTCCCTTCACGTCAGAGTCCTCTACTTTAGCAAAAGTGTGAATGCACCCCTGACAAAGCCAGAAGGCACCCTGGCTGAAAAAGGCTGCATTATTCTGTTTCCATATTTTGTAGTTAGTTAGGCTAGGGTAAAAAGTCTATAGACATCTGTGTGGGCACTAGCATACAAAGCTGCTGTGAGCTGTATTGCATAGCGAGGTTATGGTGATGCCAGCAGCCATTTCATAAGCTAGGGCTCCTGTATGTACAGATCACCCATGTCAACCATTAATATCTGATAAATAGTTCTAAAAAAATAAAAATAAAAGAACTGTATCAAAGGAAAACTGAGAAAAGAATGCACAGCAAGAATGTAACAGAGAAAAGGTTTTAAAAGAAGACAAAAGTCACCAGGAACCTGAGAAACTCACCTTTCACTCTGTCCTCATTGGCAAACTCCTTACATTCATCCTTCAGATGGATGACGACCTTTGTTCCTGGCCTCACTCCACTGGCCTCTGCCAACTCAAACACTCCAGACCTGAGGAAAAAGAAGCAACCATGTACATATAGCTAAATGAGTGACTGTAGAATGACCAAATTAGGCCGACTATCCATCAATCCTCAAATATAAAGCAAATAAATAAATAAATCTGAGCTCTCACAGGCTGTGTAGTGGAGTACAGCCCAAAAAAGGGGAGGAGCAATGACGTTCTGCCTGTTTCTGTATTGCCCATCCTTCTAGGAGCCTATACCCAGAGGTCTACTGTGCCCTCACAATTAATATTTTTATTATAAATTGTTTTTATTAAAAGGTTCTTAGTACAAAACATAGCATAGGCACTCACATCCGCGAGAGCACACAGTTCAGTACAGTACATAGCAAACAAAATACAGTAAAGGAACACCCAGTAAAAGGAACAGACCCATAAACAAGGTGTATGTCCCCTGTCCCCAAGAAAGTGTGTGTCCTCCCAACTCCAACCGCCCCATACGGAGTGTCATTACATCTTACAAAGTTGCAATGTGTACAAGGTTGGACATACAATGGTTATATCGCCTCAAGTCCCCGGTTCACACTCAGTAAGAGGTCCGCATAGGAGAAAGAATGAACCTCTCACCCTGTCGTATCCGCAGACTCTAACCTTCCTCCCTAGACCTTGGAAAACTTACTGGGGCATCCTCTCCTCTGATAGGTCGCCTTGTAAAGGCGTAAGTAGGAGTTGACAAGGCCCTTTCAGTCGGAAATGTTTGGAGGTGCACTCCTTCTCCACCGTAGTATCACTACCTTCCTGGCGCAGAAAAATACAATTCACAGGAATGTCTGTAGCGCAATAGTAGGAACGACTGCTTCAGTCAGCCCCAGAATATACATGTGTATGCTAGGTATGAATGGAGCATCAATAAATTGAGACATAAATTGAGCAACGGCAACCCAAAATGGTCTGACTCGTAGGCAGGCCCACGAAATGTGTATAAGATCTGGCGACGAATCAGAGCATCTCCAACACATGAAACCTCCACCTCCATAAATGCGAGCAAGTCTCACCGGAGTATAGTATATCCGGTGTAATATTTTACATTGAATAAGCTTGTCTCTAGCAGAGACCAGATGACTAAAGGGATAGCCCCAAACATCCTCCCCTCACAATGAATATTTGCAGAAATAAAGAACTTCTGTCCAAAAGATTTATCAAGGGACAAGCCGACATCAAATAATTTTCATATTTTCCTCATACATCTGGAAAAACAATTATACAGACCAAAAAAACAACAACAAATGCTAGCCAAACAAACTGCTTATGCTGAAAACTCTGCTGATCATGAATGAATCATAGAACATAAATCAATTCCAGTCATGGAGTGGGAACACATCCTTCACTCACCCATCAGATATCCAGCAATACCCGGCACTTCCAGGCTCTGAAGCCTGCGAGTAAACAACAACCTTATCCGCAACCATGAATGCCGAATAGAAACCAACACCGAACTGGCCAATAATCTTCCCAGAACTGTCAGCCTGATTCTGCAGAGCGTCCAAAAAGGCCTACAACAGAAAGTAGAGCAGTGTAACAACATACTGCATGTACTGTGTTATAATATCAACGTATCCATATTTTTATTATCAGCTAAGCTCTTACCTTAGATCCAGAGCGAGCGATGGTCCCCAGATTGGAGACCAGCTCCTCCTGCGTCATTCCCACTCCAGTGTCCTGCGGAACAAGGTCAAATTTATAACAAACGATACATAAACTGCAAGAAAGCGTCAAAACTAAAAAATGTCCTAATGTTTAGAACCCTTGGCTAAAACCGAGCTCTCTTTTTCTATAAAGAGGGCTTGAGTCCTCCAAAAGGAAGGAGCCAGGCTCTTTTGCCTAATGTCATCCCCCTAAGGGTGTGGCTTATAGCTGCTGAGTCCTTCAATGAACATTCAAGGAAAGTTTCCCTTTTTCAACACAAATTGTGTCAATTTATCAATAGTGGGCAGAAGGCTGCAAGCTGAAATCCAAAGTTACTCAACATTGAGCCGAAACATGTATCTACCCCACTATAGTCGAGTTACGTACAACGCTGCAGTTCTGTCACCCAATTCCTCGTACCTGAATAGTGACGGTCCCCTTATCACTGTCTGTCTGTAGGTGAATCTCCATCTCCGGCAAGGAAATACCCTGGGACAGGAGCTTGTAACGAAGTTTTTCAAGAGCATCACTGGCATTTGAGATCAGTTCCCGGACGAAGACCTGCCACAGGAAAAGCCAAGTCATAAATAAATATTCAACTTTTATTACTTTGATTGCTACTTCCAGAACCCTCTGTCATCCATTTCAACATAATGAGCCTCGTTTATGAGGCCCTCCAATGTGAGTTATTCCCCTCCTAGCAATCAGTTTCCCCTTACCCTGTCTGTCTGCTCCAGTCTGCATTTATGTAACCCAAGGATTGATTTACTAAAAGGTGTCACAGTCTTTCCTTCATATAAGCAGGTCTACCACATACAGGGAGGATAAACACATGGACCACTGCTTCCACAGCTGTCCTGTGAAACTGACCTGAATATCACAGAGCCGATAATGCAGACTGCAGAATGAGTCACACAGCAGGATCACAGCCATGCTCTCTACTATCAGAGTCAGCGCTGCCTTGCTTAGTTAGTTATATGCACACGGTGCTTCCACTTATGCAGGCAGTGCTAGGTTTTCCTATCAGAAATAGTGTGTTATGCATGTGTAGCCCCTATATAATATACATATATGTGCTATCACAGCGATTCTTGTTCCTAACTGTAAGGAGTTAATTTGTCACTGTGTGTGATCTGAAGCAGAGATTTGTGGGGATTGCAGTGCAGAGCTGACACTGGGGATTGTTAATAGAGCTTTTGTGAACTACGACTCCCAGAAAGTGTGTATAAAATGATAGAATATCCGACCTTTAACCCCTTAGTGATCAGGACCAGCCACCGACGCTCTAATTTGTGTGGTATCCCCCTATTCCCTCCCTAAAATGTAGATATATACCTTACATTTTTATATTTGTTTATTCATAAAGTGGGTGGAGACTGATCCCTATAGGGGCCCTTATAAATAAGGAATTCATAAGGTATCACTTTTAGGTGGTACTGGCCTTTAATTACTGTGTATAAGTAGAGATGAAAAGTTGTACCTCTTTTTCAGAGTATAACGAGCGTGCAACAATGTCCAGCAGTTTCTTAGTCTCGGCCTGAAACTCATGCTTGGAGGCAGAACCTGTAACAAAGAAGCGGAAGGTTTTAGCCACTAGCAACAGCCCTGCTACAGTTTATAGATCCAGTACAGAGACTTCAACGGAAACATCCACTTAAAATGTAGGCAAATAACCCCCTGCACAAGGAGGAAATACTTCTTTCTACACTCCCCACTCTCTCTAAAACTATTGTATGTACATTAATGTCTTATTTTAATATAATGAAGCTGAATTGACAGTTCTTTTCCATTCTTATAGCCGTGATAAATGGGAGTTTTTGACAGTACTTGGGGCCAGCGAGGAAGCGATTCCACGGAGGTGAGTGGCGAGTGGTAGGCTCTATGCATGCGACTGTCACCCATGTGACATCAGTCTTAGGTCGTGTAAATGGCGGAGGAGGAGAGTAATACTTTCTTGTAACATAACAATGTTTTATTGGGGGGAAACAATGGCCAATAAGATTTTTGGCCCCTTGCTCCTTCTTTGCAGCCCTTAGTGGTTAAAGAAGAACTCCAGGTTGTATACTCTGTCCTGGCTGGCCTCTGTACCAGTCCCCGCAGCCTCCTCTCCCCTTGGGCTCAGAAGTTCGAAGCCCCTCTGACATCATCACTTCTAATAGAGTACATGCACTTTTAGTAGACGTGAGGACGATGAGATGCATAACACAGCCTGAGTGAAGGGGGGGGGGGAGAGGTGAGCAGTCACTGCTGTAGGACTGAGGATCGGGCAAGTATATCTTCTTTATTAT